GTTATTTTTAGCTCGGTAACCGGAAAGCTGACCTGATTATGACTTTCCTCGCGGGAGGCTCCCAAGCTGCGGTCCCTTTTTAGGCAATGCCTGCAGGAATAACACCTCCGATAACGCCCCAAGCGTCTCGGCAAACGTGTCGTGGTAGAAGGCTGTCTGGGCTTTGTTTCTGTTTGAGCAGTATCTGCTGTGCTTGGTTTTGGGTCAGCTCTCTATCTAGAGAGGAAAGTATGCTCATAAATCACCTAGAAAAATGCTGGCTTACAAAGACGGCATTTTTCTTAGCAGAAAACCTGCCCAGCTTGGTGCAGGGCTGATCCTGAGATAGCAGACTCCCAGGAGCCCTCTGGCCCAGAGCAGGATCGTCTGTCGGACTCAGGCTAGCAGGCAGACATCAGGGCCCGGCTCTAGCCGAGCGTGGCGGGGACAAAAACTGCGGCTGAGACTTGCGAGGGACCCTTCTGGCTGCTATTGCTTCGCCTGGTTTATCCATCTCTAGCCAGGAGGTTGTGCTGGGTGCTGTACGGTTTTACGGTTGGTTTGAGCTCTGCCTCGGCTGAAAGGGGCTGTTAACATCAAAGTACTCAGTGATGCCCCTCATGGCAACGTTGGCCTTGTGTCCAAGGGCAGATGAGCCGAGAATCGAGTTTTTTTCGAGCCGAGAATTGGGTTTTCAGCTCGGGCCTTCCCCTTGGATGTGGCAGGAGAAGCTGCTGCTGTGTGTTGTGGATGATCTGCTGAGAGCTGTTTGCCCTTGCTGACTTCTTCCTTCCCTTTGCCCCATCCCCTCTTCACAGAGCCCAGGGACTGTTCTGCCCCTCCAGAGACTCTTCGGGTCGAATCCAGCCCTCGACGCTGCCTCACGCTACAGGAGAAACTCCTCTTGCACTACAGCAGCCACCTCGCCATCCCCGAGGAGCAGGTGGCCCTCACGCAGCAGCTGGCCAGGGACATCTGCGCAGAACTGCAGAACTTCCTGCAGAGCAAGTGCCCGGAGCTGCCCTTTGGCAGCCTCTTCCTCAGCGGTCCCCTGCTTGACGGCCTTGGGGCTCTTGCTGCTGACCGTGTCGACTTCATGCTGCCAGTGATCCTTGACCCTGGGCTCTGGAGCCTCATCCCAGGAGAGGACACTGTTGTGAGAAACCCCCAGTACTGGATGATCAAGAGGACTGATCTGGAGTACTTTCCTCGTGGGCGCAGCCCCTGGGACAGGTTCATTGTGGGCAGGTACCTCTCCTCCAACGTGCTCAATGAGACGCTCCACAAGATGCTGGTGGCCTCCATCAACTGGCCTGCCATTGGCAGCTTGCTGGGGAGCATCATCCGACCGGTTGTAGCCTCCAAAGAGCTGAAGCTGGAAGTTAAACACGACCAGGTGGAGCTGAGTGTGACCCTCTTCCCAGTGGTGGAAATGGAGGACAAGGTTCTTCTGGCTGTGCCTCCTGAAGGACTGGTGGAAAACCTCTGGCTTGAGAGCTTTTACAGGGCAGAGGTCTCAAAGGTGAAAGAGCTGGATGCTGGTGACTGTGGAGCTAGGCAGTACTGCCTCCGCATCCTGAACGGCATCTGCAAAAGCCATCCCTCGCTGCGCAAACTGAGCGGCAGCCCCTTGACGCACGTTGTCCTCCACCTCAGTGCCACCAGTTCGGACTGGGCAGAGGGAAGCCTTGCTGCCAGGTTCCAGCAGGTACTTGAAGAGCTGGTAGGCTATCTGGAGAAAGGGGCCCTCCCTTCCTATTTCAACCACAAAATCAACCTCTTCTGCGAGCTGTTGGAAGAGGAAATCGATGAGATGGGCTTCATGCTCTACGGGG